TCAGTAATTCTTTACGAAATACAATTGACAATTCGAAAATTATATAATTTTTTTTTCTAATGTTCATTTGCTTCTTTTTTAACGCCTTAGCGTGAAAGAAGATAACATAAGCGTACGTTTTTTTAATAATAATAATTCTTTATTATCAAAGAATTATTATTATTAAAAAAACGTACGCTTATGTTATCTTCTTTCACGAGCGTACGTTTTTTTAATAATAATAATTCTTTATTATCAACAAAATTAAATCACATTTTTTTTGAAGTCTCTGACTCCCAAACTAGACGAGTCTGTAGGCTTACTATTTAGACTTAGACTAAGCCTAAAGCCCGGTTTACATTTTGAGAAGTGACAAGTGCGAGTGACAACTGACAAGCGGCAAGTGAGAAGTGACAAGTGCGTATTTTATTCCCACTTGTCACTGCCTGTTCACACGCACTAAGCAATTGTTATTTGTCAGTTGCACTTGCCACTCGCACTTGTCACTTCTCAAAATGTAAACCGGGCCTAAGTTTAGCCAAACTTAAGTTTAATATTTACACTATATAGCCGTATCGTTATATCTTTATACACTCAGTGCGTCAAAGTCGGCAACTTTTGTTCAAACATCAAATGCGAGCCTAAAATCAACATGGCGCAAACTAATCCATATTCTAATGTTCGTACACAACTTTTTCAACACTCATGTGTGCACGGTTCGCTTCCCACCAGTAGCTCGCACATGGCACCGAGGAATTTAACACGCAGATGTTCGTTCCGCCACGGACACGATTTAATACCTAATAAAAACATCCACCGTTTATTCAATATATTAATGTGTTTGCGGCACAAAAAACATTTTTACAACAAAAATCTATTGAAGTTTATTTTTCCTTAAAATATCTAATATTTTCTTTTTGTAACATTATGCTACATTCTTCTTATCATAGGCCTATCATTTTTATAATTTTAAATATTCTTAATCTAATGGCATATTAATATTGAAAAACTAGCCTGGACTCAATGAATATTTCAGAAATGCTTGATGTTTAAGTAAGTAAAGTAATACATACAAAATAGTAAAGTAGTAATACATACTATTTAAAAATATCAAGCAATAACTAGAAACCCTGTAAGAAATTAAAATAGAAACAGACCCATTGAATGAAAGTTTAAGGACCTTATTCATAAAAATATTTAATGAAGTAGTTTTATAATTTACCTGTATACTTGCAATTATTGTCACTTGGTGAAACATCAGCCTCATTTTTTTTTGGATGTAAGCACATGTACCATAATATACCCCGATGATGCCATGAGGCGAAACCGGTCGTTTTTATAATAAGTATAATAACAATTTAAAATAAATATTGTGAAACTAGCACAAGCGTTTATCAAAATCACAAAAATGAATCTTTTAATATTTGCGTAAATTAAATCAAACACTATTTAAATTTTAAACAATATTTCAATTTTATGGATGCAATTCTGCATGTAATGAAGTATGGTCATCTATTTAAGTATTTAAGCAGAAGCAAAACAAAAAAAGCTAAGAAGCTGTGACATCCATTAGCGCATTCGTGCGTGAGTTACGATGCATATGGTAACATCGTCAGACGTTTCGAAATATAATGTTAAAGTTCGTTTATTTAATGTTAGCCATCTTCAGAATGCGTCTTTGTAAGCTGACATAAGAATATCGTCAAAGTATCGACTCAGTAAAAGTAGCCATGAAAAATTCTACGGGCACAAACATTGTAACGAAGCAATCAAATGCAATCTACATTCCAATACCCCACGAACGTTAAGCAGAAGGAATTCGCGCTCAGCATAATTTACCGCCAATAAATGACGCATACAACATCAAATAACTTTTCAAAATATGTCAAAAAACACCGACGCGCGCTATAAATCCGAAAAGGCCACGATATTGATGGCTTTCTTTTTACGATTACGAACGAAACTTTATTTTTATTTCAAGTCGCTTAATTTACAACCCGCTGAGGGCATCTGGCACTTTGACATGTACGGATATAAAATCGAAACAACCACGCAAGTGAAAAAAGTGCTTTATTAGATGTTGCCAATTTTTTTTCTTTACAAAGCGTATTTTACAATGGGATTAATATTCGTGAATGTCCTTTTACAAATGTAAATGAGCGGTAAATTTAGTTTACGAGTACATTTTGTAAATTCCAAATACAGGTAACTAGAATAGACTACTTTAAGACCGCATTTCATTAAATTATCTGCTTAGGGGTCGTCCATTAATCACGTGATGTTATTTAACAACTTTTTACCCATTTAAGCTCTCCCTCCTATGGTGATACGTGGTGAGGTTTTAGGATAACCCCCTTTCGTTATCCAAAATCACGTGTATTTTTTGGTACAAAGTATGTTACAAATTTCCGTAATATTATTTGTAAATACAGGTATAATGTAATTTAGTTCTGGTATATTAAGGACCGTGATCAAAATGTCCAGACTGACATTAAGGTTGCAGATTGTTTTCGACTGGCATAAGAATTTTAAAGGAAGGCGTAATCATGTGAAAAACATAATTATAATGTAAATGAGTATATTTAACCCCGTTCCCTAATAATTTGTCCCGTTATCCTTATTAGTTTAATAATTCCAATTTGTCGAGACACACCGTTGTAACTGCTATGAGACTGCGCTCTGGTATCCCACTGAATAGTTTTGCTTACCTAATGGGCAAAGTTAATTCCATGAATTGCACTGACTGTGATCTCATTGAAGATGTTTTTCATATTTTAGTGAAATGTGCCCGGAATGAAGCTGAGACGATATCCTTTGGGCTTGCTTACGGCATTAGCTTGCATGACATTGGTGTTTGTAATAGTATTCTTGCTACTCTGTATACATAATGATTGATTGTGCTTTAAAACGTAGATAAGAATATTAAATTGTGTATATTTTAACTATCATGTCGGTCATTTATTTCTCAATAAAGATTTAAAAAAAAAAACCCGTTCCCTGTCCCATGAATCATATGTTAATATTTCGATGGTTTAACTATTGTGTCTGTTTTGCCTACGGGGAACTCTGAGACTGGCATGTCCATTCCACAAGCTGCCGACAATCCTTCTTCAGGCTATGGCAATACAGGTCATAAGGAAATTTGTCAAAGTCCTCTTGTGTTGGGATAATTCCAAGAGACTGACGCCAAGAAATGTAGCAAGGCTCTTGCCATCACGCTGTTGAGGTTTCAGAAAATATAGGCCACATCAAAATCAGGTAAGGAGGAAGTATCGGACGGGAGATGCCTGGTAACGGCGTTTTCAGTTTATAAATTTTTTAATTATTATTCAGTTTATAAATTATAAATGGCGCGTTCAACGAAAAAATAAATATAACGCGATATCTCAATACACCTTCTCTACCCCTGGTGATGTTTCATGATTTTTTTCGAACCCCCATCCCCCGTATCGAGCCTCACGTGATTAATGGTCGTTCCCTTTGTTTAAAAAAAAAGAAGATAGAGCAAATGAGCATGCGGCTCAACCGATAAGGGTCGAAGTATCGTAAGCAATTGCAACACCAGGGTAATTAAAGAAATAACTGTTTCTTATTGGCTAATTAATTTTTAGGATTTATCACATAAAACGATTTAAGTTTTTTATTTTAAAGTTAAGGCATCAATTGAAATGTTTCTGACTTTATTGCGTAAAACGATTTGCTTTGTAAATAACTCTAAAACATTCAATAAGATTCTCAAAAAGTATTTTAAAATTTTTAATTAATATAACTTTACTACAAATTTATAAAACATTATAACCAGGTGTCTACGAAAGTAATTAGATATCAAACTACTTGAGTAAACAATTTGTTTTACTGAAAATTTTTGATGTCATTTGATAATTGTGAAAATGTAATTGCAGTAAAACTAAAAACTTATGTACTCTTAATCTCTAAATTCTAGTTGTAATTTTTTTGACAGGAAGTTTAACGAAGACATTATAATATCTATTCATATGCCAAAAAATGGTGTCTTAGTTCACACGCTCATTAGCAACAATACAAAGAATAGTTTAAAAACAAAACGATACTTCTTTAAGAATGGGATGCAGTTTAGTGTTAAACATTAAAAGCCTGAGGCCTAAATAATTTTAAATACTAACTTCATTGTTTAGAAAGGCATCTCAAAAGGTGAAAGTCATGTGCTACCTATCTTACTTTGCAAAAACTGGCATCTCGATGCGGCCTTGCCAAGGTGAGTGCAAGAGGTACATAACGGTTCGACGGCGCGGGCGTACAGGCTTCACACACCACTGTCGGTGACCGCTTCGGACAACATTGCCATGTAAACGCTCCAATGAGTGTCAATACCGTTGTGGTTAAATGCGACCAGAAATAAAAGCGTCAGTGAATACCGCAGTGGCATGACACCATGCATTAGAGACTTTCGTTGTATTAAGGCACGTTTAGTTCATTTCCTTTCAGTACCAATGTTTCACTAATATGGTGTGCAAAGCCGGTTTACATTTTAGACACGTATTTAGGTGTTGTTTATGGGAACGCAGTTATAACTGTGCTATCTTTCAGGGAAAAATGGATGGAACAGTTGACGTTAAACTTATAGCAAACAATAATCAAAACATTGCAAAAAAAAACAGTGTAAGTATGCGAGTAATTGCATAATATGAAGAACTTATTATATAATCCTGTGAAAGATTAAGTAGGTGGTCAAGATTATGGTGCAATAAGGTTATTGAGATTATATGTTGAAGATCGTATACATACTTTAATTTAAGTTTACAATGTGTATTTTTTGAGTTATATAAATCTATTTAGATTTGCAGAAATACTTAAAAGATAGCATAGTAGTAGTAAAACGACCAAAACCTTTAAGAACATTACGATATTTTAATACTCTAACAATTAGAATGCATCGATAGGGACCCTTTCAAATTCTTGAGCGAAAATGTCAATAACCTATGGTTGGTTACGAAGCACACCCATCTTGCAAAATAATACTTACGATTTGGCTGATCTCAGTAATGGGGATCGGCGAAATTGTTTTATCGGAGCCCTGTGGGAGAGACGAGGCGCTGGGTGTAGGGGATACGCCAGGGGAACTCGGCTGCACGTTCACTACGCTCTCCTTAGAACTGCGGTTCGGAGACAACCTCGAAGGGAAGCTCAGCGTCTTCGTCCACTGCGACAGGCTACGCACCATTTTGAGTGTTCATATGCACAAAACACGTTCACTTAACACGTCAACACGAACGCGAACGATAGATCCGAACCGTGCGACGGTCGGCGGACGAATGCGATGCGCGAGGCGATCCAAACAAAACTTGACGCAGGCTGTGCAAGTTGCGACTTGGTTTGGTTTGGTTATGTCCTATTGCACATGTGTGCGTGGCTTCTGGCTTTCGTTCATGTGTACAGCTACGGACGGGTGCTGGGGACCCGCAGGGTACGGTACAGGGCCAATCTTTTGTTTATCGATGGGGCGACCACCTCAATTGAGGCGATAATTTAAGCGATTTTGAGAAAAAAATCCTCTTGCACTCGTATCCTTTATTGCTTATTTTGCAATACACGTATACTTGAGAATCACGAGGACCTTTTGTTATAAGACTGGTTAATTTTAAAAATAACAGAATCGAGTATTCCTTTTTGTATTTCGTTGTTAAATAACATTTAATTTAGTCACTTTATTTCTAATCGATTTTTACTAATGTACAGTTCTGTTTATCATCAACTTATAATTCAAAGAGTATGATTTATATACATATCACCTATACAAATATATTGAATAGACGGTTAGTCTTTTTAAAGATTTTGAATTAAGATAAGTTTTTGTTTTGTTTTTGTACTTCTCTTCGGTTTTACATTTTGCTTCTTTATTTACTATAAGAAATCTGATTATGACGTTTTTTCAGTTAGTACCAACAAACATACATAATACACTACCCCCCTGCGGTCACTAATGTCCATCGGTACCCGCATCTTTCCTCCATGAATAATCGACACATTACCCTTAGGACTAAGGTGGAATGCCGTTTTCAGCAACACAGTCTCTTTACTGGTTTGATAATCTTCATTCAACAATTAAACATAGCAGACATTTCTTTATTAAATGTATGGGGTTTTCTTAGACATTTCAAACCTTTAACGCAACATGCAAATTGAACAACAATGCCACGTTAAATTATGTTGCTGTCTCCGTCACTAACAACAGTACAAAAGTATTAAGCAAACGTTAACTATAATGTCAGTTGTTAAACAAAAATTAAATATGCTTTTGTTATTGCTTTATTAAACAATTTTAAATCAACTTTAGTGAATGGACTTTTACCAGAATCTACACCACATTTCTTTTTATGGGTGTCAAGAATTTATAATTATTGGATATTAAAATTATATGATTACACGCTAAGAGTTATATTATATTATATATTATATTATAGATTATAACAATTCATATAGATCTTGCTGTTGTTTTTTGTTTAATAGGTAATGAGTGCAATTGTATAATTTTGCTAGAAATCATGTTTAGCTTTGTTTTGACTGTGTAAATGCATCGGTAATTAAGCTTTGATTTTTTTGATGACTTCAATGTAGCATATTTTTTCTATATTTATTATATTATTATAGTTTACAAAATATGTTTAGAATGATTTGTGAATGATTCCTCTCGACAATGATCACCAAAGTTACACGTTCGTAATGCAGCTATAATTTTTATATAATTTTCTAATTAGAAATTAATAATTATAAAGGAAATATGGGGAAAATAAAAAATTATGTAGGATTGACTGTACTTTCCTTGTGAGCATTTATCAAGTTAAGTATTTTATGGTTCGCTTCAGAATCTGTTATCTGTCATTAGTCGAGATTTTTTTTAAGAATAATGTGACAAATGTGCACACAGTCCACTTGATGGTTAAAGTAAAAGGGGTCTCCGGTTCTCTACATTCACGATACGAAACAGTAGCATTAAAGTGCCATTTTTCTTTGGTATTCTGTAACAACGTTCGTTCTGTATTTGCAGCGTTGCGTCATATTTATGGGATGTTTATGTTTGGTCACATTTTAAATCGTTCTTTTTCCATCTCGTCACTCTTCGAAAATTATTTGACATTTGGCTCAAGACGTTTTAACACCAACCCACATTTGTTATTTTGGTAGTACGTTCTGTTCGGGCCCAAGAGCCTTGTTAGATTCTATGGAAAAGAAAGGTTTATGAATGAAGGTGGATAATTTGGTTAATTATAAAATAAAGATGGATAATAATTATAATAATATGAATTATTAATAATGCCAATTAGTTTTATTTAAAATCCAAATTTAAAATGTGACCGAAAATACTTAAAATAAAAACCTTGTAACTCTTTAGTTTTGATGACCCTCGGCATCGTTAACGCAATCAAGATACACGTAAGTGGGGGAGTAGGGGACAAGTGGGAACCAAGGTTAGCTAAAAGCAGAAACAATGGCTGCTAAGGTTCGTTGCATGCGACTTCCGACCGCCACGTGCGCGCGCAGCTGCCACGCCGGCCGCAGCGCATGCGCGGGATGTTGGGATAGAAAATGGAGACAAATAAAAAAATATCTTTGAGATTAATATTTATTATATAATAGCAATCCGCCCGCACAGATCGCGACACGCCATCTAGCGGATCCAATTGTGAATCTACACCATCCTGGAACCTAGTTCCTAAAAAAGCTTATAAAAAGGTTTTCAAGAGTCCACTGATGAACACCCGTCCCTAAAATTGCCACAGTTGGCACGCTCAAATGATGAGTTGGCCAATGCGGTCATTTTTCAGTTGCTGTCAGGAAGATGCTACCATCCACACTCTGTTTCAATTCCTTCAGTTGCTTTTTATAACCGTATAATTAACGACATCGAATTATTTTTTAAGTATCACATATTTTTATTTATTTTTTTTTGAAACCAGAATTTAAACTTCTAAAGGTGCTTTTCGTGATAGAGTAAAACTACAAAATTTTGAAAGAAGGAAGGTATAAAATACACATGTGGTCTAAGGCTGACAGGTTAAAGAATGGCTCCTTACTTTCAACTACAGGTTTGTTTACCTGGCGAGCTATCAGACCGTGAAATGGCGTAGATTTGTTCCAACTAGTTGATCAGTTTATACTTTTTTCATTGGATATTGGAGGGCCAATCACTTTAAAATAAAAGATGTTCCTACCGGTTCCCGGTACGCTTTATTCACCCTTGCAAATTTTTCAAATAGTTTTAAATATTTGAATTTTTCTCTTTTCAGTAAACTATCTACGCAATCAGGGATTTCCTTAATAGTACTGACGACGTGTGTAAGTGTAAAGATCCCGCAATTTGGAATATTTTTATATCAGACGTTAATAATATATTATTATGATAGATTTCTGCATTAATGATATTACAACAAAACGCGTTGAACTTCATAATACGCAAACTGCAAAGAGAACTGGAATGTCACTCAATAATCTTAGTAATGGTGTTATTTAGGTATAAAAAGGTTCATAAATGGATTTCTTCTTTTACTTTTTTTCAGAGCTAGCTTGCAGAGAGCCTTTTAAGGATGCATAAAGCATTCTTACAAACTTATAAGCATACGTTATTAGAAAAATTTGTCCGTACTCAATATACTGTATGCGAGTTCGTGAACGTAGAATTTATAATTTCGTTCTTGAGTATGTTTCCAACCAGGATTTGGAAATCTAATTCGGTGTTGGATTTAGAGGGACCAATAAAAACATAAAATATAGTTTTCTGCTATAGAATAAGGGTGACAAATAGGCACACAGTCCATCGAAGTCCAAGCATAATCTGTGGCTTATAGACATCTACATCTATTCTCAATTAAGAAACAAAATGCTCATGCGTTGTCATCTAAGATGGAATGCGTCGTATCCAGAAAAAGGTTCCTTCCCAGCCGAGCTGACCTATTCGTTTTGCAACCATAATATTGCTGCAGCATGGCTGTACCACGTACAGTAGTGCGATTGTGTATATCAGGTAGATCGACGATGGGATTCATTGAAACTCTTAAAACATAGCTTACACATAAACCACAATCTTCATATAACCAATAAAATAAAAACGTTATGAATGGTGCACAGAAACTCTACAGCAGCTCTTCCTGTCTATTGAACTCATCAAAAACCGATAACAGCGCGTCGTCTTTGTGTAAATACTAGGGTGCAACCCTAATGACTCTATAGACAGCTCTCCGAATGACAGAGATGCTTTGTTCTTATAGAGGGTTCACTAGTTTAATAGCATAAAAATAATGGGGCACAATCGGTCAATTTCGTTAAATTAAAAAAATATAAAAGTCACATAACATATTAGTTAGTTTAGTTAGTTAGTTAGTATAGTTAGTTACTATTGGAACCGTAATTTTGTAATATTGATCGTAAGTTGCTGTACAAATGATACGTCGTAACGTATCTCTACGAATTTTTGTAATTTTATTATTTGTTATAGATATTATTAAAAAACTACGAAGTATTATCGCTGCAAAATTGGGTCTATCCGACCGGGAAGTACCATACTTGTAGAAATCAGCCTAAAATAACACCATAAATCTTAGGTTTAAAAAAAAAAGGGTGACAAACGCGCACACAGTCCACCATATGGTAAGTACTGTGGTCCAAAGACATATATTCTCGATTAAAAATTAAAATGTAGTTGCGTTGTCACCACTAAGGACTAAGATGGAATGTCTCGTAGCCAGTAAAAACGGTTTTCGGTTATCTACGCTTACCATACCAAAAACAGCAGCATTAACCTGGTTACTGCAAGATGTGTATTTAGCAGTATATTCCATCAAAACGTATATTTACAAAATTATTTGTTTGCATACATTTTATCAAAATTCAATAGCATAATGTGTAAACATTAAAATCTATAGCTGTGCATAGGCTATACAGAAAGTTTCGTGTGTGATCGTGGCTGTTTTCGGTGCGTTTGACACGATTTTAGTTTTTATTTACTTTTAAAATATGCTATTCGCTCTTTTTAAGCTGCACCAAGTAATCTTTAAACAAGGGATAATTTTAAAACCGTGTAAATGTCATAGTGATAAATCCGCACCATAATGGCGGTTTGACAACAACAAATTCAAAAGCCATTTAACGAATTAATGAGTTGCACACCTACTATACCATTTATTATTGATTTGTTATATGGTAATGATTTAAGGAAATCCTAATTTCATCAAATGTTAATGTCGACCAAGTAAGAATTTGGTTTTCGATGACCATTTTTAAAACAGATGGCCAACGCTGATAATGTATTTTGTCTTTTAATATTGAGCGTTATTTAATAATTAATTGATTGGATATGAGACACGCTATCTTAGTTCTCAGGAATATACGCCCTCCCCCCCTTAGATTGCCTCATAAGCGGGATATTTGCCACAACTGCCATGCTCGGCAGGTGCGTTTGTAACCGCAGTTTTATATACTATATGCTATTACATCCCCCGGCTTGTGTCAGTCTCCTCTTTATACTTACATA